ACCTTTTTTAAGAGAGTGGAAGGTAGAGGGAGAGACAGCAATGTGAGACAGACACATTGACCAGTTGCCTCCTGCCTGCTCCCAACCAGGGCCAGGAGCCTGCAACTGAGGTACGTACCTTTGACCAGAATCGAACCTGGGACCCTTCAGTCGGCAGGCTGCTGCTCTATCCACTGAGCCAAACCGGCCAGGGCCTGACTGGCTTATTTTGCTTATCATAATCCTCTCCAGATCCTTCCATCAGTGTTTTTGTTTTAATATATTCTTATTGATTTCAGAGAGGGAGAGGGAGAAACAGAAACATCAATGGTGAGAATCATGGATTGGCTGCCTCCCGCATGCCCCCCCACTGGGCGTGAGCTGTAACCTGGCATGTGCCCTTGACTGGAATCGAATCTGGGACCCTTCAGTCCGCAGGCCGACACTCTATCCACTAACCCAAATCGGCTAGGGCCATGGTCGGCAAACTGTGGCTCGAGAGCCACATGCGGCTCTTTGGCCCCTTGAATGTGGCTCTTCCACAAAATACCACGTGTGGGCGCGTGTACAGTGTGATTGAAACTTCGTGGCCCATGCGCAGGAGTCGGTTTCCGGCCTGGGCGAGTCTATTTTGACGAAGTACTGTTGGTATTTGGCTCTGTTGACTAATGAGTTTGCCGACCACTGGGCTAGGGCATCATCAGCGTTGCTTAGCTGACTTCCTCTCACTAGGGTTGAGCACACTATCTTTTCTTTGGTTGAAGGCACTGTTTGTGGTGGACGATCTTTTAGCGAATGTGGTCCATTGTCCTGTTATGCTTTTGATCTCATCATTTTATAGAAATAATTTTGTTTCTCATTTGTTTTACGATATGCTTATGTTTTTTGCCTTGCAAATTTTTTTTAACCCACAAGTACTCCCATTTCCAAGGAAATTAACTCCTGTTTCTTGTGGGACTTGTGTAATGTTTTTACATTTAGGTCTCAAATGTATTTCACTAATACTGTTTTTCAGGTCTTTAATATCCTGACTGATTTTCTGTCTACTTGTATCAAACTAGAATTGTGGATTTATCTGTTTTTCCTCTTAGGTCTGTCAGTTTTGGCTTTTTAAAAAAAATATATTTTATTGACTTTTTATAGAGAGGAAGGGAGAGGGATAGAGAGTTAGCAACATTGATGAGAGAGAAACACTGATCAGCCGCCTCCCGTACACCCCCCACTGGGGATGTGCCCGCAACCAAGGCACATGCCCTTGACCAGAATCGAACCCGGGTCCCTTCAGTCTGCAGGCCGACGCTCTATCCACTGAGCCAAACTGGTTAGGCCAGGTCTGTCAGTTTTTATTCCATGAACTTAGAAGCTCTGAATTAGGCACATACTTATTTAATATTGGCAGGTCTTTGTGCTAAGCCAATCCTTCTGTTACTAGGAAGTGACCTTTGTCCTTGGTGTCGCTTGTCTTGAGGTTTACTGTCTCCTGTAACATCGTCCTCCAACCTCCGTAGGAGCGATGCTTGCGTGGCCTGTCTGCACATTAGAGCCGGTGGGAGGATTATCTGACGGGTTTCAGAGAGGACACGGAGAACAGACCTCAGAAAACTGAGAAGCATCGAGAAGTGGATGCGAGGCCTGTGTCCCATGAAAAGCAGTTTCCCATGCCTGGGAAAAGGTCATGTGATCAGAACCCATGGAGGAAAGTTAGAAATTCCCTGTAATTTGGTGGAGCGCTTTGGCACATGAAGCATACCTTTCACAGATATTTTTGAGTCTGCTAATGGGCCCTGTGCTAGATGCAGAGGTCAGTTTTTAAAAATATATATATTTGTATTGATTTCAGAGAGGGAGAGGGAGAGATAGAAACATCAATGATGAGAATCATCAATCGCATGCCTCCTACATGGCCCCCACTGGGGATTGAGCCTGCAACCCGGGCATGTGCCCTGACTTGTGACCTTCATGGTTCATAGGTAGATGCTCAACCACTGAGCCACACTGTCCGGGCGATGCAGAGGTCAGTCTGAGATTGCGCTCCTGTAAGGGTCTGCAGCCAGAGCAATGAGGCTAGGGCATTTGACAGTATTGCTTATGATATTTGTGTGTCTCCGTGAATAAAATCAATGTCTTTTTGGCAGCAAAGTGAACTGCTAATGTTAGGGGCAGAAATGAGGAGTAGCTATGGTTATAGGAAATACTAATCATGCTCTGTTAACTGTGATTGTTCTGTTCTGATTAGAGAAAGCACATTGCGGTCCACTCTCCTTTTCTGAGAACTGCCTACCATCATGGAGGTTAACCACCTTGTTGCCGAAACAATCCAGTCCCAGAGGTGCCCACCCTCTGTGACCCCCCACCCTCACTGCCTGTAACCTGCACCCATTGTACCTCGCCTACCTCCCATGCCTGCAATTCCTACTTTCCCACATAATCCTTGTCCTTCTACCCGATATAAGCAGCTGGCTTATGGGGGGAAGGGGTAAGAGCAGATTTTCATGGATGACCTGCTGCTCTCCTATGCTACCGGCAGGATCGGAATAAACACTCACACATGATTCAACCCTGTCTCTGTTTACTTGGCAAAAGTCGTGACAGGCAGCCCAGACCCACTGGCTGTCCGGTTTCACCAAGATGAAGGGTAAGAGTCTATTTAGTGAGTAAAAGTGGATTATTGGCCAACAATATATCATAGGAACACTGAGTAGGCGTGACAGTGAGCATCTGTAACGGGAACTATCACCTCGAATTGCAGGCTTCTATTAAGATGGCCCAGACTCACCCATGAAGGGAAACTGTGAATGAATTTTAGGTATTTAAATATTTTCAAAGGCCCCTTCTAATTCTAATATTACAGAAGCTTAATATTAAAATGAAGTTTTTATATTTCTCTCTCTTAAAAGGCTACTTCTCCCAGCCACTCTGTCAGGGCTGTCGCCACACCGGTTACCATCGGACAGATTTACCAGGAAATCAATGAGACCTTCACGTGCAATGGCCCTTATTAGGGCACTTTTGTACGTGACTTTGACTCTAAGTCCATATTCTTTTTCTTAAGGAGAGTCCCAAGAACTGTAAAGCTTCAGTCACCTAAGACTGAGAGATGCCTTTGGTGGAACCTGAGAATTCGTCTTCTTATTCACCTCATCTCATTTGGTTCTAAGGTTTACTATTTCAGTCTTCACAGTTCTCTCGGATTTTGCTCTTTCTCCTCAATTTCTGATTCTACTTGTTTAGTTCAGGGCTTCCTCGCTTGAAAACTGCGTCACAGTGGCAGCTTGACAGCTGGTTTTCCTGATGCAATATAGCTCCAAATGAACCCACCCTATTTAAAGCTGCCAGGCCAATTAAAAACCAACACTGCTGCCCGGCCAGTGTGGCTCAGTGAGTAAAAGTGGATTATTGGCCACTCAACCAGGTCACGGTTTGATTCCTGGTCAGGATACATGCCCCGGTTGCAGGCTGATCCCCAGGGGGAATGTGCAGGAGGTAGCCAATCAATGATTCTCATTATTGATGTTTCTCTCTCCCTCTTCCTTCCTCTCTGAAATCAATAAAAAATATATTTTAAAAACAAAATAAAAACACTGCGTATTTTGCAAACTTACCATCCAGCTTAAGATATCCTGATCTTTCCACGATCACCGACCTTCTGAAACTGGGAAGCTTAAGTGCCCAGGCAGAGGTGGCAATCAGCCCTGGCTGGTGTTGCTCAGAGAGTAAGAGCATCAGCCCAGCACACTGACCGGTCTCGGGCTCAATCCCCGGCCCCAGTAGGAGAGCAGGCGGGAGGTAACCAATCGGTGTTTCTCTCTCTTTCTCCCCCTCCCTCCCTCTCTAAAAAAATCAATGGGAAAAATATCCTCAGGTGAGGATTAACAAAAAAAACGTGGCAATCAACCAGAGGGTAAGTGAAGCCACAAAAGAAATGTGACATTTTTAAAAGAGCATTATTTTTGCCTGATTGCATGTAGTTCAAACGATTACTGCCCACTTTCTTCTTATATCAATCAGGTATAAAGCTGAATGCGACAGTTAAACAATTTGGACCTCAGATGCAGAAAACTGGGTTCATCATTATTCTTGGCTCACGACATTCTCTTCATCAGCGCGTTCAGTCATGCTGCCACTTCCCATGACATCACCACCAAGAGGGAAACCAGGACATAAATTTACATTTACATTCACCTCTGATGCTCCATTACCTCACCCAGCCTTTTCCCATTCAAGCCAACACCAGCAAAATCATCCTTCTCTTGCTTTTTCTTTTAACATCCTAAACAGTGTTTTGGGGGGGATTTTTATAAAGTTATTAACTTTATGAAAAGCCTAATGCATGTTGTATTTAATTTTTAAGAAATTACTCTTTTCACTTTATATTATACAGGTGGGACAAAAATAGGTTTATAGTTGTATGGGAAATAATAATACAAAAATAAACTGCTTCATGTACCCACATCTGTAAACCTACTTTTGCTCCACCCTGTATTTCTAGGATTAATCCATATTGTGCCATTCATTTGGAGTGCTGTATAAATATATCCTAACTTACCACTTTATAGATGAAAAGAAAATGAGGCCCATAGAAATTAAATCACTTGCTCAAGTACTACAGCTTGCATGAGTTGGGTTAGGAGTCAAACCTGAAGGCCTGCCCAATTGTTGTAACTTAGTGATTGTGTTGACCTATGAGCCAGGAGGTCATGGTTGCAGTCCGGGTTTGGGCACATGCCCAGGGTTGTGGACTTGATCCCCAGTGGTGGGCCTGAAGAAAGCAATTGATGATTCTCTCTCATCATTGACTAGAAGCCCGGCGCACGAAATTCATGCACAGGTACACTCCCTAGGCCTGGCCTGCGATCAGGGCCATTTTCCCTGCTGCTCACAGCCACCCACCCCTGGTTCCGTCCCCCGTTCACCATTGGGCGATCAGAGCCTGCTGGCCTCACTGGCCCCGACCCCACCACAGGTTGACCTCTGTGTGTGGGGATACCAGCAGGGTGGGGGCCTTGGCCTGGTGCTGCCTGCGTTCCCCTCCCACCCACCCCTGGTTCCCCGTTTGCCATCGGGTGATGGGAGCCTGCCAGCTGGGGAAAGGGACCAAGAGGTGGTCAGTGCACCTCACAGTGACTGGTCGAGCGGTCATTCCCCTGTTAGGGTCAATTTGCATATTACCCTTTTATTATATAGGATGTTTCTATCTCTCCCTCTCCATTCCTCTCTAAAATCGATAATAATAAAAGAGTAATATGCAAATCGGCCAAACAGTGGAAAGACCATCCGAAGCTGGGGCTGAGGGCCGAGGCAGTTGGGGCTGTGAGGGCCAAGCCCCTTGCACGAATTTTGTGCATCAGACCTCTAGTTAAAAATATAAAGACAAATGAACCAAAAAACCTGAAGCCCATATCATGTCATACCTCAGTTATAAGCAAGGATTAAATTTCTCTCTTAACCTTTACAATGCCCAGCCTAGTACTGAACATTTTTTTAAAAGAACAGTATTATTATTACTAAGCCCACTAATAATGTGGGAACACTGCAGGCATATTTGTCATTTGCCTTTCAGAGGAAGTCAGTTGAGGGTGTACAACACAAAGTATAGACAAAGGAGGGAGATGTGGGTCCAGGGGACAGCAAACCCTACCCTAGAGAAAGGTAAAGGAAGTCCCAGGACAAAAGCCTGGTCATAGAAACGGGAGCAGGACAGTGAACTCTGGTGAGTGGTCCTCATGGGGAAACCTGAGAGCTTAGAACCTGAAAATATGACAGAAGAATCGGCAGGATGCAGAACAGCTGTTATATGAATTTGCCTCTAGCACTGGTTCCAATGGGGCCCAGGTTACGACACTATTGCCCTGGAGAAGGGAACATCTAGCAGTGCCTGGTTCTGCAGTAAACGTGCTCAGGGATCCCTGAAATGCTTCACTCCCCAATTTCATTGACGGCTACTTTCCCCTCATATTGACACATGTGAATAAAAGGCACCTTCCAACCAATGGGTGGCATAGCTTCATCCGTTGTTTATCTTCTCCGTCAGTGGGGCAGAGAGTGATGGCCCATCTCCCAGTCAGCAGATGCTGGATCTGATGAACTGTGTGCCAGCGACAGCTCAATAACGCACTCTTCCTCACGCTCTCTCCGTACAGTAGACGAAGCTGGTGTTATCAACATTTTACAGATAAGGAAACTGAGGCTCAAGGCTGGAACCATATGCTCCCGGCGACTGTCAATTAAGTGGCACAGCCAGAACGGAACCAGGTGCGACTTCAAGGCCATGTTCTCACAGCACCTCACTGACCACGGGCCAAGCAAGGTGACCTACCCTGCCGGAAACACTCAGGTCAAGGTGTAGCTCAAATGGAAAGCCTTCCGACTCCTCCAGGAAGCGGTCCTGCCCTCGTGTGCTCCCACATTTCAGGAATACCTGCCTCTATTTCCCCTTCTCACAACGCGGACCTTAACAAGACCTGTGCCACCCTCTCTGCCCCCGCAGGGACCACCACTGTCCGGCCCAGGTGGGCACTCCATGTCCGCTAAGGAACGGGGTCTCTGCCTCTAAGCGCAAAGAGAACACTCAAGTGCACCTACAACTGATCAGGCCACAAGCGGTGTAGCCTGAGCGCCAGGAATAAAGCGCATTGGAGTTTAAAAGACGCAGTGATAGCGCACGGCGCGCGCGCACACACACACACAGCAGGCTGAAAGCAGGCCGCTGAGACGTTTTCTGTGACCGACACAGCAGGGTCTTTTTATTTTTATTTTATTTTAATGAGCTACCAGCACTCGTAACTTAACTTTCACGTAACACCAGGGCTCCTGGAGCTTCTGGGAAACGGGGAGGTGTTGGAACGGGTGCCCGTTCCCGCAGGGGAACTGGCTGGACACAAGGGCTGCTCCCTCCTTCCTCCGGTGCCTCCGTCCTCCGCGCAGCCCGCGGGAGAGCGCACTGGGACCCTGCGACACTGGGCTCGCGACACGCCTCACTGCTCCGCGTACTGTCCGCCCCCCACACCCCCCACGCGCTCCGCCTCCGAGTCCCTGCTTCCCGGCTCCCGCGCTGCCCCTCCCCGGGTCTACGAACCTCAACCACACCGCGCAGCCCCTCCGCGAGGGCGCCGTTCTCGGGGGGCCAGCGCGCCCCTCTTCCGCGGCCCCAGGAGCGCGCGGTGCATGTCGCCCGCGAGGACGTCAGTCTCTCACTTTGCCGCAAATATAGGCCAACTACCTGCCGGCCCTGGAGCGGGGCCGAGGCGGTGCGGGGCCGGCAGAGCGCGGCCGAGTCCGGCCACGTGGGCCCCGGGCCCGGAGCAGACGCGGCTCCACGCAGCGGCGCAGGTCTCCGGGCACCGCCAACCTCAGCCGTCCAACTTCCAACTCTCGCGAGGCCCGCCCGAGCGCGGCAGCGTTT